ATGCAGTTTCTTAGTACATTTTGAAAGTCTTTGGGTATTTGAATTATTTCTGGCCTGGAACAGGGATTAAAAAAAACAAAAACGGTCAAGCATGTCCCATAAAGAGGGCCTTTATCCACACGTCCGTTAGATGAAAATTGGTCTGAGGTCAAGCCATTTGCAGCATTCTGATAGGCTTCGATTTTCTTCCCAACCCTCCACAGATAATCGCAAATGATTCAGTAATGACCAAAAGTGCAACATTGACCTTTACTATCTGGTGTATTACTGTTACATGCTGTAAATGGCAGGAAGTCCATTTCATCCCTCCAGAAGGAGTTCAGTGTTGTACTTGGCTTTCTATGTGTTGAAAGTGTAAGCAGAAGCAGAGAGCTTAGGAATTACCTTCTAAATCTTTTGTGAGTGTGATTTGACAGTATATTCATTTCTATGTATTAGAGACTGATTTTCTTGATTTTTTTTTGCATGAAAAGAATGAATGAGGATGTGTTTTTTTGGTATCTTCAGAACTTCAGGTTTTCTTGCTTTACTTTATTAATGTTGCTCCTAAGCTGTATTTTTCTTCATTTAATTACAAATTTTATTCTAAAAATTGGTCAAAATAATAAAGTAGATACAAATGTAATAAATGGCAATACATAAACTCATCCTTAAGAACTGCTGATAGAGTGCTTTCAAATCTGATCTAACTTTGTGTTACTAGAACTTCAGTGCAAGAAAGAATATCAGGCTTTTGACATACAGTGGTCATTTTTAGCTGAGCATTGCTTTGTAAGACAAGGTCTGGACACCTTTGAGGAGTCTCAGCACTAATAATAGAGCAGCTGTTGCAGCACAACTGATTGCTGAAACTCATGTGCTGTAAGACTTAATTTTTACCTTAAATTGCTGTGGATGCTATAACTAAAATTACTAGTGGGACATGTGTTGGTAGACAGTGAGTGGAGCAAAACCATAGTTATTACTATCAAAACCTCTGAAGCTGAAATGTGATTAGCTAATTTTCCTCAGAGAAAGTCTGCATTCTTCACTCAGAATTGAGAATGCTGGTTCCCATAAGCCTAGGGCTTGCAGCATTAACACTTAGATACACATGGGTATTTATTATGGTGTGAAATAGTTTGGATACCTGTATTATACTTCCTTCTTTTCATTCCAGTGCAAAAATCTGTGCGTTCCAAGGAATCACGTTGATTTAAGCATAACTTATGTAGTGCTTTGGAAAGTAGAGGCTATCAAAATGCAAAATTATCTGGAACAGACTGTTGTAAAGGAAAACACTTCTGTACTTTTTTCTAACAATGTAGAAGGAAAAAATTTGCAGATATATATAGAAGCTTTCTTAACTGCTTAGTAAAATGCAATATTTAAGTAAGTGTATTTAGTAACTTGTCTGTCCGCTTGGTTCTTTGTTATTAAGAATTCACTTTATCAAGAGACAAACTTAAGTACAAACACTTGAGCTTGGCAATGGTTAGGTCAAAACATTTAAGTCCTTAACTAAATGGAACAGAGACAAAAAAATATTACATGAGTGAAGAGAAAAGAAATCCATCAGCTCAGTTTAGTTTTACAAAATGCAGCTGAATTCTTTCATGTTAATTTTTAATGATACTTCAGAAAGGAGGGTAGCACTTCAGTCAGGGGTCTGACAAGCTTGTCATTTGCAAATAAATCAAAAGACAGTCATTACAACAGCAAGAACCAGTGAATGATGTAGTTTTGTTACTCTTTGATGGGCCCCACACTCAAGTTCTCTATTAAAAAATGAATGTATTCAAGAGGTTCTGCATTAAGAACACAAACAATTAAGGACACTTCAGATGCTTTGCTAAGAACTGTCATAAAGCTCTGAGGACTTCCATGAGAGATGCAGGCTTCTGTAGTTTGCTTTACCAAGGAGCCAAAGAACATGGGTGATTAGTTGTGTTTGTCTATATTTGAGCAGCTTTCTGCAAAAATTCCTTTGTTTATTCATTCTTCTGACCTCTCAGTATGTCTGGAGATCAGTAGTTAGATAATCGTTATATTATATTGGGAGGCCTCTAGAAATAGGCGATAAGTACCTTTATTTTAAGGCTCAAATTTGTGAACCCCAAATCCGGGGGTTTATTCCACCGGTTTACTGACGTCTAGTTTTGATTAACGAAACTCCTTGACTCTTTCAGAAAGGGGTTTTGCTTTCAAGAATGAATATAGACACACACACATGCATGCGCCTGTATACTCACAGGTATTTAATCTTAAAAGGTGAATGCCTTTTGAACAGCTAGATTTATATTTAAAGTAACAAATGTTCCTTTTTCTCAATTCTGAAAACAACTTCTTGCAACTCTTAATTGGCAAGATTATGTGAATTGTGCATTAAAACCTCACTTTCACTACTTACTAGACAACAAATATTTTTTAACATGTTAGTGAAATAAGAATAGTTCTTACTTAACATTTGATGGCAGCAAACAGGAGATGTATGAAATTCCATAGGGGATAAATAATTTTAAGTACCTTATTTACATATGTGAATGAAGAGAATAGGCTCTTCAGTGCAGGTGTCTCTTAGCTGTCACCTGTAAAAATGTCAAGAAATCTCAAACTTGTTTTATGGCATGTACATACAAGTTTACCTAGCACTGTGGGTGAGTTAAGGTTGTTGTTCATATATGATCATCAATGATGTCCAGCTTTGGTAAAGACAAACTAAGAAAGATTTTTTTTTTTTCTGTTTTGATATCAAGTCAGATGTATATTGTCAGGAGACAATAATTTTAAAGTAAGAGTGACATGGAAAGGGTTGATTATGCCCTCTGTTTTAGAAAATAAAGAAATGAAATCTAATTAACCTATGTTGGGACTGGTAATTATTATGTGATACTGCATTCTTTTGCTTACTCTGTGATGTGTGTGCTATGTTATTGCAGTGTTGTTATTATAGTGAAGCTCAGATATTTGGGACTTGGGCAGGAAAAAAAACAGTCATGTGGACAATTTACATGTTTTATAGGGTTGAAGTTTTTTCCTTACAGCAACAGTAAGGATACTTACCTCAGAATACTTTTGTGTAGGCCATACAGACCAAAGAATTTTTCAGTAGACACTAAGTGAGTTTCTTACTTTATTATTTCTCTTTCCTCTCTGTCACCTGCTATGATTATCCTGGCTTCTGTCCTGAAAAACAAAGGTAATTCAGTTGGTCTAGGGCAATTAGCTCCTTGGATCCTAAACATCAGCCAAACAGATTGCATTGTAGGAGACGTTCTTTCCTCAGCTTTCTTATCCGGCTTTCTGGAGAGATATAGTAGGTATGTGGAAAAATACCCTTTAGTACATGTGGGTCTTTTTTCTTGTGAATAGAGAAGTGCCAACAGATTTGGTAATAGTTAAGTCTGATAACTGATAATAGTTTAGCTGGTAACTTCTTAGTAGTGACTTTGCTAGGATGTATGTAGCACTAGTACTAAAGGCTAAACATGGCTTTAAGAATATTTTATGGTCATGAAGCAGAATAGAAACAGACCACTGTGGTACTCTGTGAAATTGTAGTTGTTTCAGTTGATAATAAATGTGTGTTCCCCTTGTTGCAGGGGGGAAAAGGTTTATAGTTAAGGAAAACCTGTTTATCCTAGGAAGAAACTATCACAGAACTGCAAAACTTGAGTGGTTGTGTCAAATACCAGGCTTTGGTCAGGTGGAGTGGTTCATGTCAGAAAGTATTGATGTTTTACAAGTCTACGAGTCTAGACGCTAGATGCTGTCATGTATTTTCCCAGTGTCTGTCAGAGGTCAGGAAAAAGGTGTTAAAACTTACTGATTTAGATCCCAAATCACCAGTCTGCTAAGACATAAAGGAGAGGGTGGCTTTTGTATCCTAATTATTGTGTGACTGATCTATAAGGATCAACACATCAGTGTCTTCTAAAAAAACTCAGGATGACGGGAAGGTTCAGGAAAAGGCTTGGTAGAAGAGTTAGCAACATTTTAGTCTGACTACTTTGAATTTATCTTTGCTCAGGTGTAATCCTTGTCGTTTCATGGAAGGCCTAATGATTCTCAGCAGTGCCCTCTTGTCTAACCCCTAGCAAATCAAGAAATATCTTTAATGCTGTTTTGGACTATCACATTTTCTGATTTTTTTTTTTTTTTTTTTTTTTTTTTTTTTTTTTTTTTTTTTTTTTTTTTTTTTTTTTTTTTTTTTTTTTTTTTTTTTTTTTTTTTTTTTTTTTTTTTTTTTTTTTTTTTTTTTTTTTTTTTTTTTTTTTTTTTTTTTTTTTTTTTTTTTTTTTTTTTTTTTTTTTTTTTTTTTTTTTTTTTTT